GTGTGTGTGTGCGTGTGTGCGTGTGTGTGTGTGTGTATGTGTGTGTTTCGTTGGCCGTAACTTTTGTACTCACTCCACATGTACTACCAGAGGGATATAGACCAGAGTGTGCAACTCAGTCAGTGGCACAAAACTGTAATTCATTGTTTACTTGGTGTCCATTTATGGCTGCTGCTGCTGCATTGCTCTTGCCAGCGCTGCCACCCCACCGCTTCTGCTTATTAAATATGCTGATTTTTTTCCCTGCAAAATTCATGTATATCCAGACACTGAAGTGAATAAAGGAGTGTAGTGGTGGGGCCCATTAAGCTAAGCCGACCAGAGATCTCGGCTTCATAGCTCGATGGACACCGATGCTGTCGCTGATGCTGCTGGTGCTGCTGTGTGTGTTTTCCGGCTGCAGGTGCAATGAAAGCGGAGGACATTGTCACTGCAAACCTGGCTGGACACAGGCCAGTGGTTGCCATGCCCCCTGTCCCACTGGTCACTATGGCGGCAACTGTACTTCCAAGTGTGACTGCGAGAACGGCGACTGTAACCATGTCAACGGGTCGTGTTCATGTTTTCCTGGCTACCATGGTCACAGGTCAGTGGGCATTCTCCCAGCACGGTCGTTTGTAGTCTGTAGTCTCCAAAATCCGGTACACACTAATGGCCCAGTGGTACCCTTGACTTAGTATTGGCCACTCCTGACTCATTGAGAAGCTATGAGAGTCCTGCGCAGGGGCATGGTCAGTAACAAGCTATGAGAGTCCTGCGCAGGGGCATGGTCAGTAACAAGCAGCTATGAGAGTCCTGCGCAGGGGCATGGTCAGTAACAAGCAGCTATGAGAGTCCTGCGCAGGGGCATGGTCAGTAACAAGCTATGAGAGTCCTGCGCAGGGGCATGGTCAGTTACAATGAGCCAGTACCACACATGTGATGAGAGCATCAGCTGGGGTGTTTTGTGGCGTGTGTGTGTGTGTGTGTGTGTCCAATTTCACTTCAAGGTACCAGTGCATCTAGTGTCTGCTTCTATCAAAGCAGCGTGCTGTCTATACTGGTTACCCCAGCAAGTGTAGGGTGTGCATAGATAACTGTCTTGGCCGTTTTATACCGATGTACTCCGTGTGGTGTAGACCAGGTGTGCATTGGTGGTCGATTCACATGGCTTCGCCAGTTGTGTGGATTAGACAGTTATCTGGCGCAAGTCTTGATCTGTCTCATTCAGATCTTGTTCACTATCGTTGCTATAAGAGAAAATCTGTGGGTGCACATCCAGTGCATTTGCAGATTTGCGTGCTTCTCTTGCGACGGGCGTATACATGGTACATAGTACATGGTGCGTGTGTGTGTGCGCGCGCGCATGTGTGTGTGTGTGTGTGTGTACGTCGTCCCGGGGATCTCAAGCGCCACGCTCCGTACTGCAAAGCTAGCAGATAGTCCCTTCGCTATCATTGCCATCGGCAATGGGCAGGTTCAAGGTTCAATGTGTGTGTGTGTGTGTGCGTGCGTGCGTGCGTGCATGTGTGTGTGTGTGTGTGTGTGTGTGTGTGTGTGTGTGTGTGTGTGTGTGTGTGTGTGTGTGTGTGTGTGTGTGTTTCAATCAGAATCAGATCCGCTATCGTTGCTATAAAGAGAAAATCTGTGGGTGCACATCCAGTGCATTTGCAGATTTGCGAGCTTCTCTTGCGACGGGCGTATACATGGTACATGGTGTGTGTGTGTGTGTGTGTGTGTGTGTGTGTGTGTGTGTGTGTGTGTGTGTGTGTGTGTGTGTGTGTGTGTGTGTGTGTGTGTGCGTGTGCTCAGCCTTGCAAGCTGTTGAATGATGTAATCCCAGCACCGTTGCTATGTCTGACATAGCTGTTTGCAATCATCGCTTCCGCGATGGGCATGTCTGAGGTGTGCGTTCTGTGGGTCTGTGTATGTATGTGTCTGCGTGCATGCACGTGTGTGCACTGGACAACAGGTGTCGTAAGCGTTGCGTCGACGGTAAGTTTGGCCTGCACTGTGCCCATCGGTGTGAGTGCACGTCCGGTGCCGAAACATCCGCCTGCAACGTGTTTGACGGCGTTTGCCAGTGCAAGCCTGGCTATGTGGGCAGGACATGCAGCGAGATGTGTAATGGCGCGTCATTCGGCGCCGAGTGCAAGCAGCAATGTGACTGCCTGAATGGAGGCAAGTGCCATCATGAGACCGGATTGTGCATGTGCTCAGACCTGCTCACTGGTACCAAGTGTGAGACGCGTATCACCATTGACCCAGGTGAGTACTGGCAAGTACAGTGGAGATTGGATTTAACGACGCTCCTTCGGGAGGAAACAAAATGTCGCTATATTCGATCGGTCACTAAACCCGATCTTCACATTCAGTATGCTCGTATGTATATCAAAATCGCAAATGACAGAAATGCATTGCAGATATGCATGTGCGTAATGCATACGGATTTCAGATGTGTATGTGCATGTGTCTTGCCTGCATTGTTCAAGTCAAAAGTCATGCATGGCCACTGCACCGC